GAATACTAGGAATTTTCATGTTAGTCCATTTAATCATGAAAATAATCCTATGAGGTAGGTATTGCTATTTTCATTATTATAAGTGGAGAATAGAAAAAGGAAATGGTTTAAAATGTTAATATTAAAACTAGTCCCTAAGGAAAAAAATAGATTTAACTAAAAAAGGGTGATAACCCTGGGCCAACATTAGCTATATCATATTTCAACTATTATCTCACTGACCTTGAAGCTGCCCTATGAGATTGCAATGACTATTTTTTCCATTTTATACATAAGTATTCTGATAATCAGCACATTTCAGAGTCTAATCTAAAGACGGTATTATGGGACCAGGAATTTTGTGGAAGAGATTCAGGTTTATACAATTCCCATACCAGTTACAAAGCAGTGGTTTCAGTCTAGGACAGTGTGGGCAAGGGACAGAGTAGTCTATAGAAGGTGGCCAATGGGAAATCATAGGAAGTCAGGTGTAATCCATTGACTGAATGTGCCAGCTGTTCTGAAATCAGGTGTTTGTAATCCAGGGAATGTCTGCATTTGCTGGATGTAAATTCTGCCAGTATTCTATAACTCTGTACTCAAAAATTAGCTATAAATCTCTTGGTTCATGGGAAATTGTTATTTATAAATAAATAGCTTTGTTTACTATGGAGAAATAAATAAATCCCTCCTAAGAAGTCCGGAATTTTCAGCCTGTACCTTATTACATATGAAACCAGAATATACCTTATCTCTGGAGCAAAAACAAGTTAATGTTGACTATTTTAATATAATATCCTAGTTATGATATCATTAGGTTACCATGAAGCAGAGACCCACATGACTTGATATCCATGTTATTACCAATCTAGATACTGACTGAAGTTAGCTAAGCCTTGTCTTATTAAATATCACAGGTTAAGGGAGTTCTGTTTACAGAAAACACAGATCTTAAGGGATAAAGGGAGAAAGATCCTTAAGAAAATAGAGGGTATAAATATAATAGATTTGATCATTTAAACAAGTTATTTCCTCTGGATGGAATTTTTAAGAATTAATTTACCAACTGAACCCCATTACTTGTTAGGCATTAGGCGAGGTGCTGGCAATACGAAGATGAATAAGAATGTTCTTGCCCTATAGGATTTACCTTCTAATGGGGAGACATTGGTACACTGCTAGTTACAATACAGACAGGGTTAGCACCATAACGGAGGCATGAACCTACAGCCATGAGAGGGATGAGTTCTGGAAGGCATTATGGATTCATCTTTCTCCTGGCCTGACTTCCAGGTGAGCATGTGCTTTCTTTCTACTTGAATCCAAAATGTCCCAGATTATTTTAAAAATTTTTTGTCCCTGTATACCCTTCACCCAGCTTCCCCTAATGTTGACATCAAAACTAAGAATTCACACACTGGTACAGCATTGCATTAGGTTGTGTCTCTTTTGTCCCCAATCTGTGACAGCTCCTCAGACGTTCCTGTCTTTCAGAACCTTGACATTTTCGAAGATACCTGGTCAGCTATTTTGTAGAATATCCTCAGTTTGGGTTTGACTCATGTTTTCTCATGATTATACCCAGGTTAAGGATTTGGGGAAGAATACTACAGAAGTGATGAGTCCTTAGTGTGTGACGTCAGCGGGGACAGGATGTTAATATATCCCACTACTTGTGATGTTAACCTGGATCACTTGTTTTAGATGATGTCTGCCAGGTTTTTCCACTGTAAGATAATGCTTTTCTTTTGTAATTAATAACTATTTGGGCGGAATCCCTGATGTTTTGCCTGTAGAAATTATCTAGACCTTTTTCTTGAAAATAGTCTTATGATGGCACAGAGTCATTAAATAGTCAAAACCAGAGTCCTATAAGCCTAGAAGGGAGATTATGTTCATAGGAAGAGCATCAAAGTACAAGATCTATATATCTGTTCTGTAAATGAATGTTATGCTAAAGGCTTCAAACTCACATTTTCCAGGGGGAAAGAGAACACAAGAGAGATGAATGTGTAATAAACACATTGAGGGTCTCTCAATTCCTGATTACTACACCATTTGAATTTAGGGAATCACTAATCCTAAAGCTGGGAGCACAGATATTCCCAAATTTGCATCTGCAATAGGTGTGAAGGCACTTTTTTCAGGGGCGCCCCTGAAAGGGATGACCACCCCATTTTAATCAAGATTTACCTACTAGCTGAAGGACTGATCTTCATGAATGACACTATTGAGGAGTAAATTACATGGAATATATTTCTCTGGAAAATCCTGGGATGTGACACTGATCTTACAGGTGGGTTAAGATAAGATAGTAGATTTATTAGTTAGCCGTGAACACTCCTACTATAGAAATAGTCACAGGAAAGCAGGTATGGAATTTCTGTTTGCCTGCTGTTTGTAGAATAAAGTTTGCTGTGCGAAGCTAAAGATATATCAACACCTTCCCATGAGAGATAATAATCGGGTTACAAAGAAACAGTAGAATAACTTCGTACAAAACTTTGGCTCACAAATCTAGCTAATATTACCAAATTTAATTATGCCAAATATCCTCTTTGAGAAAAAGTTTGGAAGCCTACTGAAAATATTAACAGTGGAGATCCCCTGGGGAAACATTTTGGGGTCTTTTACTTTTTCACTTCCAGTTCTGTACTATTAGATTTTATTTACTTATTGACCATGATCAAGTACTACTTTTAAATTGAAAATCAATCAGACAGGAAATTTTTTAAAATCCTATTTCTATTAAATACTAATGCCTTGCCACCAAGTGAAACGAAGGGAAGAACAGAGTAAATTCACCTCAATAGAGGGTAGTTACTGAAGTAGCCACAGGACATTGTTAAAAGGTAATTAATTGTTCTGCCACAAAAGCTGGAGAAAGGGATTCTAGGTTTATCTGCCTCAGGGGATGCCAGAGCATGTGGTTGGTTGGATGTTTAGCCACTACACAGGACAGAAATTTCACCTTGGGAGTTTATTTATTTTTTTTTTTAAGATTTTATTTATTTATTTTCTTTCCTGCCAAAGCCCCAGTAGATAGTTTTATGCCATAGATGCACATCCTTCTAATTGGTGTATGTGGGACGCGGTCTCAGCATGGCCGGAGAAGTGGTGCATGGGTGCGCGCCGGGATCCGAACCCTGGCCCCAGCAACGGAGCGCACGCACTTAACCGCTAAGCCACGGGCCACCCCTCCCTTGGGAGTTTATAGTTTAACAAAGCAAAGGTGGAGAAGACCATTTTTGCACATCTAGTTTTTGTATCATTTAAAATCCTGCCCTAAATTTTAAAATCAGAGAAAGGGGGCCGAGATAAAATTACATTTCTGGACTGTGAAAAGTAATAAAAGAACTCATTGACAGGAATGGTATTTCACTGAAAGGTTGAATGTTCTTGTTTTACATAATTATTTGGTATACGGTAAACTGGATTACCTATTCATGAAAAATCCAAAGGGGAAAATGTCTTTAAAAAACACTGTACATACTGGGGGGAAAAAAAAGGATCAATGAGGTTTATCCAGGCCTTCCCTAAGAGCAAGGATTCCAGTTCCTCTTCAGAGAATTATCTCCCCTCCAACAGCTGGGCTGCTCTCCTGTCCCCACTCACGGAGAGGAGGGAGGGCCTGTGTTCCCTGCTGAGCTGATTCAGTGCGGAACTCCACAAGTAACACAGAATCCCGGCAAATTAAATGGTAAGTAAACATAGGAACAGGATACAGAATAAGTAAACATGCGCAGGACACAGCTCTCTTGCAAAAAAAAAAAAAAAAAATTTAAGCCAGTGTTTAACAAATGTTACCCCTGATGAAGCACATTCAGCGGTTTTTTCGCGTTTTTGTTGTGTTTTAATACAAAATCACCAAAAAATGTTATCGTTGCAAGCAGTTATTCATTTTTACTTTGGCATTTGAGTCGCTGTGTCCTATTTAAAGTCCTTTAGTTTTCAAGTGCCCTTAGATAATTTTGTAACAATGTTTCGAATTAAGAAAAGGCTGCATTAAGTGTCAAATAGTAAACAGGGTCAGCTTTGAAAGATACTTTTCTTTTGTTGGAGGAAAATGCTTGCATAAATTTATTAAGCAGCTAAGTACTAGGTGAAATAGTGCTTAGTGACTACTTGTGAATTCTTACAGCTCTTTAGTTTTCTTCGCCATTCAGCTTATTCTGGGTTCGAAACAGGGTTTGCTCTGCAGATAACGATGCGTGGGGTGGTAAGGAAAGAAAAAAGTAATTTAGAAAAGCCTAGGGGAGAATTTTCAATAATTCTTGTGCAACCATTGTGGGTTGTTGCTTTTTGTTTTTTTAAAGCTCTGACAAGTCTCTTTCAGCAGGTGATCCTCGTTGCCACTGCAGGACGCAGAGCCTGGGCTCCACCTGTCTCCCCTTCCCCTCCAGCTCCCGAAGTTTCCCGTCCCCAAGGCGCAGGCGGCATTTCCCCGCGAGTGGATTCCGCAACCGGCTTCTCCCGGCTGCGCGGCCCCACGTGACGCCCCTACACCTGTGCGGCCTGCGGCTCACAGCGCCCCCATCCCCTCCGCCAGGTACGACCCGGCCCGCTCCCCCTCCCGCGGGAGGCGCGGGTCCCGGGGCGAGCCTCCGCGGGCGCCAGGGGAGGGGCTGAGCCTCGCCACCGCGCAGCCGGAGCGCTCGCCGCCGATTATCACATGACTCGACGGCGGCGGTAGCCGTGGCAGCAGCCGCGCCGGCTCCGGGGCTCGCCGGGTGGGCTCAGTTCCGCTCACGCAGGAGCCGGGCGCGGCGGGCGGGCACGGGACCTGCT